CAATTGACCATGAGACCGATTCCTATGAAGAATCTCTGTCAAGAAAATTTGCAATTGGAGAAAGTTTGCACACTCCAAAGAAAGAACCAAGTATCAATGAAGTCTATTCAAGTGATGAAGATATGGAATTCGTGCCGCATAGGCCAGAAATACCAACAACCAAGCACTTCGCTTCAAAAGTCATGCATGGATGAGTTCAAAAGAGCTTACATCACCTCTATATTTGGTGATATAAAAATTCATTGCGCGACTGTCTAGTGTACTAAAGGAATGGTGGAATTCACTCGGTGAATACAGACAGCAACATGTCTATCAGACAACAGTATCATTGCTTCTTGGAGAAATTCACAGAGAATTCATTAGTACGCCTACACACCAAAAGGAACAACTGCAAAAGAGTTCCTCTCAGCAAAATGTTGTTTGTTAAGGAAGAAAAAATCTCGCAAAACACCTTGAAAGGAAGATAAGAAGATACTACGCTCTTAACGGCCTCAATAACCCTACCATGAAGCATGTCTACCTCTCCTCTATTGATGACTACCTTAGTCAACAAAATAAGTTATAAATCAGAGATCAAGGATAAACAATCGAAGAAATCTCAATCGGCTAGATCCAGCAATACATCTTCAGAACACTCAATAAACTCTGCAAGCAAAAGGAATTCTGGATGGAATTCATAGATAGATCAAGACAACTATCCGAAATTTCTGCCAGACTGGATCTATCAATCAAGTGTTCAAAATCCAAGAAAACTTCCTCTTGCGATACACATGAGAGACATCAGAAATTCTAAAAACGATTATCTAAGCACTCTTCCATTCAGATGCAATAAATTATTTTGAAAGAAACAAAGCTTCAAGAATGCGTCGAGATGTTTCTTGTGTCGGAAAGAAGGGCATTTTGCGAAAAACTGTCCAAACAAATACAAGAAGAAGAAGCAATACCTAATAAATTCTATAGCAGAGATCGCACTAGATATTGACCTTAATGGTCATGACCTAGAGTCCGTTCTATTTTATTATAGCGATGACAATGATGCAATATGTGGATATTCAGAAGAAGAATACTCTACTGAGTCGTCTCCTGATGACGATAAACACTGTTGTTTCAAAATCGCAAAAATACCGCGAGAAGAAGAAATACAACCTCCTCATATACCAGTAACAATCTTTGACCCCACCAGTCAAGATGATCCAGTTTGCGTCATTTCATTTATTGATACGAGAGCCTATACAACAATCATGAATCCCAAGATTCTTTCACCTTCAATGTGGCTACCTCATCAACAAGAATTCCGCGTTGCAAAATCTGGTTCATTAACTAACAAGCTCAAGTCAAAACCAACTACAATCGAACTCTTCCTCGGGTGTCGCATCACTAATGAAATATTAGGCTGTACGGCGCCAAAGAAGAATCTCATACTGGGATGGGATTCTTATCACGGTTTTAAGAAAGCTTTCGATATCTCAATCGAACCAAGTTAAGTAAAATGGAAACTGCTCTTTAAAGCTTTTACATCGATTCTACGACTATACACAATCGAAGAACCAGCTTCTCAAGAGTTCACGAAGGTCAAAGAAGAAATGACAATAAAATCATGTGCAGACTCTCACACATTTCTTACAAAAATGCAACAATCCGCTTTGGTTAAATTCAGAGTTCTTTGATTCATTACCATTTAAAGAAAACGTTGACACTACTCCAACAAAAGCTAGCCATGCTAGAATGCCACCCACCTTGCTAAAACAAGCAAATGAAGAATGCGACCAGCTAGTAGAACAAGGAGTCATTTCATCAACTAATTCTCCATGGGCATGTAAAGCATTCTATGTCAACAACCATGACGAACAAGCAAGCGGAAAACTCAGACTAGTCATCGAGAAGAAATACATGAAATGTTTATGTATTTATTGGGATCGTTGGCTCATATTGATTTATGAATTTTTCGATTTCATGTAACTTAGCGTTTGACTAATGAAAATTATGTCAATTTATGTACAACCAAAATTTGGGCTTTGAATGTGAACCAGAACAAATACAAGAGAAAAGTAAGAGAAAGTTAAATGCAGAAGATACTGCATATATTTTCCATTCATCTATTAAATTGCATAACTAAAATAATGAAATATTACTAAGCTGCATGCAGAATAGTTTATATGTTATTTTCTTTTGTTTGAATGTAATAAGAAGAAGAGAGCTGGCGAGAGTCAGATGCCCAATGGCTGTAGACCTTTTAAAAAAAATATTTATTACATGTAAATGAATAACATTTCTCATTTAGTGTTTGCAATAATAAATCAAGATTTTTCTTAAACAATAAGTTTTTGTAGTTATTTTCGTTTTCACATATAATGGTTTTAATTTTGAGAAATCAAGGTATATTTTTTTTTCTTAAATGAATTATGATACATGCATGCAGTTTTACCTATAAATTAATTAATTTTATATTTTCATGTAAATTAGTTTATTAATGCATGCATGTGATTAACACAATTCATCTTATATTTTCATATATTAAGACATATACGTACATTTCATATATATAGTAATATATGCAATATTTTTATCTTGTGTTTAATTATGTACTTGATCTGCATTAAATATATGTTGCAAATAAAGTTAAAGTTTATGACTAATAATATTCAGTAAATTTTTTAATTTTATACAACATATATACTGTAACACATGTAATTATTTTTAATAAACAGTGTAATTTGTATCATATATTGTATTTAGCTTCACTAATAAATAATATTTACATTGGTAGAAAAAATGTATACTATAGTTCATTTTATTTTTTTCTTAATAATAAGTAATATAACTTAAATAATTAATATTTGTTTATAAATTGTTGCATTTTAATATTTTATATATTTTAAAAATATATGATCAATAATATCATGTTTTATATATTCAAAAAGTAATAAATATTTTCATATAAATTTAGTTTAATAAATTTATGCATATAGTTTCATATTTGATAATTCATAATTTAACTGCATATAATAGATTATTTAATACCATTGAAATATCAAACATATTTTTTTGTTCTTGCATATACATTTAATAAATTTTATATTTTGAAAATTTAAATGAAGATTTTGTTGATATAGTAACATATATAAAAATTGACAATATTAGTTCTATAGTACAACCAAATGGTAAGAAAGAACCAAAATCATACAAAAACAAGAGTGAAAAAAAAAAAGAATAATCTTTAGAATTTCTGTAACTCTGATGAATTTTTATATAATTTATTTTTTATTATATTTATTAAAGTAATGGTATTTATTGATATTTTTGTCAACATGATATATGTTACTTATTTATAATTAGTTGTATTATGTTTAATTATTTAATTTCATTGAAAAATTAACATTTATTTAAATATAATAATTTATTGAAATAGTTTGATCTACATTTGTTCTAATTTATCTTTTATCTGCATGATCTGTATTTCTTGATCTATGTTATCTATTCGAATATAAAAATTGCATTTTATACAAGTTGATATATGTTTTAGCAAAGTAACGGATCGATTTTCCCGAAAACCCACCATCGTTTTTTAACCGCTCTAACAGATTCCACGCCGTCGCCTTTCGCCGTCAAACCTGGGAAAGCTGAGATTTTCCGAAACTCAGCATAAAGTTGATCGCTTTTCATAAATTGCCCTCGTCACTACACAATCTCTCTCATCTCCATGGCCTCCGCCGCGCTTCTTCGGTCTCTCCGCCGCCGTCAAATCCAGGCAGCTTCCGTCTCTGCATACAAATTCGTATAAACTTCTCCCTACTCTCGTGGTTATCTTGAGCTTTAGGAATGTTTGGGATCGCTGATTACCCCAAAAAAAGTCTCACCTTTTCGTGTTTTTTTTGCAGAGCTCTGCTAGCGCCGGCGGGAGGAAGACGGAGCTCCGGTTACTCGGAGTCAAAGACATCATCGCAGTTGCGTCTGGTAAAGGAGGAGTTGGAAAGTCTTCCACTGCAGGTAACATCATAGAATCGTCTTTCAATTTTGTGTGAGAGATTGACTTTCCAATGATAACGTGAAGAGTGAAAGCTTTTAACTTTATGGTTAATGTAGTGAACTTAGCTGTTGCATTAGCCAACAAATGTAATCTCAAGATTGGGTTGCTTGATGCTGATGTGTACGGACCATCTGTTCCTATCATGATGAGTATCAATCAAAAGCCTCAAGTTAACCAAGGTAAGTTATTAAGATAAGTACCTCTTGCATTTTTCATCTTTATAATCTCTTGTTTTTTTTGAAGATATGAAGATGATTCCGGTTGAGAACTATGGAGTTAAATGTATGTCAATGGGTCTCCTTGTAGAGAAAGATGCTCCTATTGTGTGGAGAGGTCCTATGGTCTGTGCTTCCTTTTTAGATCACTGATGGAAACCTTTAAGGGTTTTCGTTCAGTAATCAAAGCTTGTGGTTATTGTTACAGGTAATGAGTGCTCTTGCTAAGATGACAAGAGGAGTTGATTGGGGAGATCTTGATGTTCTTGTTGTTGATATGCCTCCTGGAACCGGAGATGCTCAGATCACCATATCTCAAAACCTTAAACTCTCAGGTCTGTGTATATATACATATCTGAGTTATTGTTAAGAGTAGACAAGTTGTGTAGTTTAGTTAAACTGCGCTTGTGTTTTGTTTTCAGGTGCTGTAATTGTATCAACTCCACAAGATGTTGCGCTTGCTGATGCTAACAGAGGAATCTCCATGTTCGACAAAGTTAGAGTACCTGTAAGGCCCATCTATATCGTCCTTACTACTAGTTTTGTCTTAGCTTTTTAATCTTCTGCACTTTTGTACTAGATTTTAGGACTTGTGGAGAACATGAGTTGCTTCGTTTGTCCTCACTGTAACGAAGCTTCTTTCATATTTGGGAAAGAAGGAGCACGCCAGATGGCTGCAAAGAAGGGCTTGAAACTCATCGGTGAGGTAAAAAAATCTAAAGCAATAACCGAATCTTTTATTTTTTGGTTTAGTCTTGTTTCATTCTTCTCGGTTGTCTTTACAGATTCCACTGGAAATGAAGATCAGAGAGGGTTCTGATGAGGGTGTTCCTGTGGTTGTTTCTACACCTGGTTCTGTAGTATCAAAAGCTTATGAAGATCTAGCTCAAAACGTGGTGAATGCACTCAAAGAGCTACGTGATAATCCAGAAAATGAGATTCAGATGAAACTTAACGTTCCACATTCCAGCCACTCATCATAGAACAAGCCATGAGAAACCAAGTTTTGTCTTGCTGCCTCACCTGCTCAGATTGCAATACCAAACTGAGAATGTTTGCAATTGCTGAGAGTAGAAGAGAAGAATGTATCTGCAGTGGACAAAAAACTAGGAGAGACACTTTTTGAACAATGTGAATTAGCAGATCAATGTGAAAGCTTTCATTTATTTGATAGGAAAAAATGATGAATTTAAATAAGACAGCCAAAAAACAAACATGTAAAGATCTTGGACAAGAAAACAATGTTTGTTAAGCCATGTTGAGATCACCAAATTATATCTTCATTATCTTCTCCTTCATCTTGATCTTCATATTCAAGATCAGCATCGCCATAGAATTCTTCGTCATCTCCTGTATTAGCATCTTCATTACTGTAATCCTCGTTCAAGACTGGTTCATCTTCTTCTGCACCCTCATGTTCCAAAAGGCATTCTTCACTGCTTTCCTGAAATTTTTCCATTTTGTCACCAACGTCTCGTTCCTCTAACTTAGTCCTCTTTGGAGAGTTCTCCTACAAAGATGTGAATACACATAAGAGACTATACAAAGAAACAAGATGTTAGATAACGTGACAGATAACGCTAAAAACAGGGTAAACTTACATCATCAAATAGCTTATCCAAGACATCCAAATTGACATATGAACTCAGTCTCTGCACACAAAAAGACACTAAATTTAGCTACAGATGGAAAAATAAGGAAGATCCAAAGATATCTCAAACTATATATATATATATAACTGGAAACAAGCTGGAGGAAGAGTAGCACTGACTTTTTTCTTGTCACTTTCTGTATTGATTTGGGTTGTGGTTGAAGAAGTTTTCTTACTAGGAGCATTCTTACTAACAGGATCTTTCTTCTTCCCAGTGATGGGTTTCCTCTGCGTCTCCTAATAATCGATAGAAAACGAAAGAGCATTAACAAAAACATCAATTTAAACAGTAAGCAGAAACTAAGAACATCGAAGACAGGATGACAATAAAAACCTTTTTGTATTCAGGGTTCATCATTTCCCAAGCTATCTTCATTAGAAGGGACTCTTTTTTAGTATTTAGATAACCAGCAACCTGATGAGCAGCAATAAACCTTAAAAAGTTAGAACAAAAAAGCACATAAACTAGGTTTAATCAGGAAGCTTCATACATTAAAACCAAACATTATAGAATTTAATACACAGCAGAGAGCAGCAGGCAAAATACAAGAAAACAGTTTTGAATAAGCTAGACATGGTTTGAACCAAGTGGAAACTAACGCGTAATGGACTTACATGTGTAACAACAGACGTTTGGTTCGCCACAATCCAGGAACCAATTTGTTGTGTTTACAGAGACTAAAAAACACCATAGACGTGATTCAAACTCAGATAAAAAACTTCCACATAAACAAACTATATATACCCTTCTTAAAAAAAAGGTTGTGAGAATGTAACAATTTTGAATAGCTGCATCAATTAAAAAACTTATAAGGCATATACGTTTTTTCTTTACCTCAGCATCACTGATACGAGATAAGTCCTCTGCAAGATCACCAACACCTTTTAGGTTTCTAGCCATTGGTCTAGATGCCAATGTGTCGTTTGAGGATGGTTTTACTGAATTCTCCACCTGCAAACGGTGAGGCAACGGTTAGATAACATTCATATATGTAATTAAAGGACATAAGTGTTTGTATAGACAATGCTCCACGTTTTTTTTTTTTTGAATCGTCTCGTGTGATCGAGATCAGAAACTAAGCCGTAAAATTGAATCTAGACTCAGATCAAATAGCGAGGAAGGAGGGGAGTGACTTACCATTCTTCACGGAATAAATGTGGCGAGATTGGATCGGCGGAGAGAATTAGGGTTTATAAAATCAGAAATCTTGCTGAGAAGTGTTTATGATGAACGAGACCGACATAGGAGAGAAGGTGATTTTTAAATAATTTTCCTCTTCCCTTTTTCTATGTTTCTATTTTGAAATGTTTGAAATCACATGTGTCTTAAATATATGAGTGGCTAGGTGTGTCAAGTATGACGTACATACAATTTTAGTCTCTATAATATCATTTAATAATTCATTTTTTATGGGTTGATAATTATCAATTACACTATATCATCAATAAATTATTTCATCATTTCAGTAATGTCATTATCAATGTTTTAAACCTTTCTAATAATTTTTTTTGTTTTATTATTATATCTACAAATCAAACTGAAATTCTTTAAGTTAATTTTCAAAAGTAATAATATAATTCTATTGGATTAATAATAATTAGTTTAACAAATAGTTAATTTATAAATATTGTGTATTTTTAAAAAAATACCTACATATAGGCATAGAACTTAATATTAGCTATTCGCTCCAAAAATGGATATCCGAAAAATCCGGATTCAGATGATGATTTTATGGATTGGACGTATACAGATACGGATCTGGATAGTAAAATTTTAGGTCCGGATCTACATCCAGATTCGGGCCCACTTTATATTTATATGTGTATATGGATATTATATATGATTTTATTATTAAAATAATAAATTTAAGTTTTATTAATTTTCAAGGATTTTTTCAATCTTTTTACAAAAAAATAATGTAAATAAAACAAATAAATAGTAATTTGGGTAGTTTTTAATTCTAATTTTAATTTTTTTGAATTTATTTTTTTAACTAAATCTATATATCCGCGCATATTCAAATTTTAATCCGGATATCCAGAAAGCTCGAATCCGAATAATAATTTTACGGATTCGAATAGTAATTTTACGTATCCGACAGATCAAAATATCCTAAAATATTATGGATCCGATCCGTCCCACCCATATCTATATATAATCAATTAGACATAAATAAATGTGTAATTTATTTATTTATTATAAAAAAATCTGTAGGGGTTTTTACTTACAAAATATTTAGGTATAAAAGATTTCTTATTTTAAAAATAATTAAAATTTCAGTAATCAATCTTGAATAAAAATGATTAAATATTGATAATGTAATTCAGTTGTTGATATCATTGTCTTCTAAAAATATGTTTTTATGTGAAAACTAACTTAATACCAAATATGTTGACAAAAACTTAATAACAAATAAATTATTTGCAAGTATGTGTCATGTAAAACGTACATTGTCAAATTAATGGAATGTAACATATTAGTTGTTAGTTACTATAATATTTTGAATTCTAACTAGTCAATGAATTTTCAAAAGATTACAATTTTGATTAGTTTATACATTAGCATGACACTTCATATATTCTTCCTCTCCCACTGCTGCTTCAAAACAACACTAGACCTCGCGCGGGTGTTACATGTTTGTTTTCATTTATCTTTATAGAAACATTTTATTTTCAATTATTTTTAAACAATTTGTTTTCACTTTATATATGAGATGTGTATATTCATTTTAAAAGATAATAATTTTATCATATATTAGTTTTTCATCGAATAGATTGTTTCAAATCTTCACATGTATTTGTATCTTCTTCTATATATATTGTTTTGGATTATTACTATTATTACATTATTGAAGTCGTAAATATATGTAAAGAATGGTAAAATATTTTTTTACTGTCATCTTTAAAGATATTTTCACATTTCTCAAATTTAGAAAGTTAAAAAAAAACTTTTAGCTTCATATTATGGTGTAAATAATTAAACATTTAGTTTTTTTTTAAATAAACTATAAAACTTAAAAATGTTTTCATTGGTCTAAGATAGTATAGATCAATAATTGTTAAAAAATGATGATTTTTATTATTTTAAAAAATAAACTATATAATTTTAAAAGTTAACATCGACAAAACATAAATAATTAACCTATGAAGATATACTATTACAAAACTAAATTATATATATTTAATTTAAACATGTGTCTTATTATACTATCTATAAATCTAATGGGTTATCCAATTATTGTTAGTTCAATAAAAGTTTTGTTGAGTCCACCATTATAGGTAACTAATTATAATGTTATTAATTAATGATTGAATAATGTAATGAGATAGTAGATTGTACATTTTAAAATATCACACATTAAAAGAGTCATGACTTCTGTTTTAATATATTAGATGACACTATCGTAAATATTTTATAAATTAAAGAAAGCTCATAAAAGATATTATGCTTTAATAGTATATAGTATCAAATACATATATCCACAATTGAGTTTGATGGTTTAGTTTCAACAGATGGGGGTAAACAATAAAAAATAATGATTTGGGGTTTAAGGTTATGTGAGTTGGGACTTAATTACTTATTGAGTTATGATTGTATATGTTACATGTCACTTTGAAAAGGGAAATTGCCAGAAATAACACTTTCAAGATACCACTTTTCAACTCTACACTAACCAACTTTACCATTAAAATTTTAATAGTCAAAATACTATTAGAATTTAGGGTTTTGGGTTTATGATTGATAGTTTAGGATTTAGTGTTGATTTTTAGGGTTTAGGGTTTACTTTTTAGGGTTTAGAGTTTAGGGTTTAAGGTTTAGAATTGATATTTTAGGGTTTAGGGTTGATTTTTAGGGTTTAGGGTTTACTTTTTAGGGCCTAGAGTTTAAAATTGATGTTTTAGGGTGTAGGGTTAATATTTTATTTAATATTTATTTTTTATATATATATATATATATATATATATATATATAAAGAACAATGATATAAGAGTCTTTTATCCTTTAATAAAATGTGTATTTTTGAAAATGTTTATTTGTTGATGGTAAACATGAAAAATGGTACCACTAAATTGGTATAATTGAAATTCTCCTCTTTAAAAACTATGAAACGTTGAATTTGCAATTGGTGTGTTATTTGGTGTGCTATTAGGACTATGAAGGTGCGGGCTTCAATACATATTGTCACACACACAATAACATATACTTAAAATATACATAGTTTACGGTTAGCACGATACCAACTACTTTATATCCAATGAAAAACATATGGTCTAAGATGGTTATGCTAAAATATAAATACTATATATAGTTTCTTTTATGCTTAGACTATTTAGTTGGAAGAAATAGATAAATAAGGCGATAAATAAGGTAATATATTCTTTGTTGGAAAATAAAGATTTTCCTTGAACCATAATTTTAGGTTTTATCTAATTAATGGAATGAAATCACATGATTAATAGAATATACCTAGTATAATAATGATAAGATTGGATAATTTAATGTAACCTTCCTTTCTAGGAATAGGTCCAAAATTTAAAAAATCACATATGAAATCAAGTCATGACTTCTTTTTTAATATATAAGATATATCAAACTATTAAATCTAATAAATATATACGTTCAAATGTAAGAAGAAAATCTAAACTAAACAAAAAGAACAAAAAATTTCACATCTTAGGTTAATTAGAACAAAAAAAAATACAATTACTTTAATTTAGAGGAATTGTTGCAATTCAATATGTTTAAGAATAATATTTAGTTAAGATAGCAACATGATTTAATTTAACATAATATTTTTTTTTGAAACACAACATAATATTCTAATTACTTTTCATATATATAATAAAAAATGATTTTACATTTAACAACAAATGAAAATAATACATTAACAAGTTATAATTTGATTATTTATAAATATTTATAACATGTGTATAAATGCGAAATAGTCATCTAGTAATGAAATATTTTTTCATTTGACCACAAAAAAATATATTTATTTCTGGAAGGAATAACTACTGAACAACTGCAGTGCAGTTTTCATAATAACAAAAACATATGGATACATATAGAGATTTTTGTGACTTTTAACTATAGATAGGTGGAGGATGCAAAAAAAAAAAAAACTACAGATAGGTGCAGTGCGAATATAGACATTCTGAGCCTGAAAACATGATCGTCTAATAGCGCGTGCAAGTGGAACGAACAAACATAATTCCAAATATAAAAGTAAAAAAATAAGAATTAAAAATAAATAAATAGATAAGTTATGGTAAAACTTTAATTTTTAGTTGTTTCCTTAATTTAAAGCTTAGAATTTCTAAAGAAACTTTAAAAGGACTTATCAAAATTTTAAATTATTTCATTAGATTGTTAAATACACCTTTTTTAATAGGGTTTAGAAATAATTTGAGACTGTCTGAAAATATGGTAAAATACATACTTTGGTTGGAATAGATTTAACCGATTTAAACCGACAGATAAGCCAATATCCTTGGAGATGATGTGAGGGACAAAGTTCACCTCTAAGGTTTTTAGATTAGGTTTGGATCAGAGATGAATAATCGCGGGCTGAATCCCGTGAATACTTGATGAATGAATGGATAGTTTCTATTGAATATTTTTGTGAGAATGGATTACAAGGACGATGTAAGTGACTGCCAGAGATAATGAAAAATAAGATCTATCAAAATATATAATCTCCTATGAGTACGTGCCAGATCCTCTTTTTCCTTGTTGTTCTTCTTCTTATATAGTCTTTAGCTTCATATGATTGTTGGTTGATTGACTTCCGAGATTTCCTCCGCAGATTTAGGAATTCGCAACGAACTTTGCTTGACCGGATCCTGCGCCTCCTTATCCGCAGTTTGAGTAGTCTCCCTTAGGTCTTCATACAAGGGACCTGACCTCTTTATTGAGCATCCCTTTGTTATTACTTCAAGCGAATCAGCTCCCGGTTCCAGGTTAGCTTCGTCTTCTCTTCTCGTTTAGGATTCAGGTCCCGGTGGACCTTATTTCGGCCCATCGTCACCTTTAATTGTGTAGCTGAAACAGACCCAGCTAACGGGCCGTATTTAGGCCCAACAGTTGCCCCCAGCTTCCGAGACTAGGTTTCCTATCTTGGAAGCTAGACCTAGGCGCCGCGTGATCTCAACACTCTCGTCAAGATAATGATTGCGTTTAAATTTTTTTTTTTTTTTTTTAACACAGAATATTCTTTTTAATCTGACGGTTACGATTGTGCTCAGCACTTTCGACGG